AATTGATTTTGAATAGTGATATGATGGGAAATGTGTGGTTGAAAAAGAAGAAAAAATTATTGATGTGATGTAAAATATTATTTTATTGAAAAATATGTGGTTGAAAATGAGAATTGATTTACTGTAGAATTTTGAGAATCTCTCCCAAACAGGGCTAAAAAATGTAAAAATGTATAATTTTTCACAATATTTTACACATTTTCCACAAAATGGAACAAATATTCAACACGCTAAGTTTGAATAAATACACAACAAGATCATATAAATATAGAAAATCAAATAAATATACTTCGATTGTTTTCAATTAATGTTAAGATTTTTGTATTGTTCTTTGATTAGTGATGATTGATTTGATTGAGCTAGGATAACGTCGGTATAATTAAGTTGGTTGTCGAAATTTCTTGGATCAAGATATTTGAGTTATTTCAATCTTTCATTTTTGATTGATTGAAATGCAAACTCACGCGTGCATGGTTGGACAATATGTGTTCACCGAATTAAGTGCGCCCAAACTTAACCGTAGGGTAAACTTATTAGTCGCGTATGATGACATAACGACTTTCGATTCTCAATAGTTGAGTCTTGAAGGCTTAGAAACTTGCGAGTTTATCCTATCCTTTTTCCCTTTTGTTGATTGAACGATGACGTTACACTTTTGACTCGAGGTCGGTTGCATAAAAATTATAATCATGTAACAATCCAATTAATGAAATAGATCCACGATATTACTTAGTACATGAATGATTCCCCTTTTTAGGAAAAAAAAAAATCACTCTTTTGAGGATTGATTGGGGGTCCCAAAATCATTAAAGTATCATTCAATATTCACACTTTTTTGACAAATTGCTGAAAAGCCTTCCACAACATTGTGCTTAAGAACAAAAAACTCTGGAAGAATTTTTGTCAGGGCCATTTTTGTCTTTTGAAGCCCCAAATCAAGGGTAAAATAGGAAAGGACCAAAATTTGCATCAAATTGAAAATCATTTCTAACCCATTACATTAAGGCTGTGTTTGATTAGCCA